GTTCATTTATATAAAATTATATGTCGATACAGTCGACGATGATAAGTCGCAGCACAACAGTTTATACAAGAAATCCTTTTTTGTGTATGTGCATGTGTATTATTGTGGGGTGCAAAATAGACATATAAGTGTTTAATATAATAATGTTAGTTGCACTATTGTTGGATTCTTCTTATCAATCTTGATAATAATGAGTAGGCATTTCTAGTCAAATTATTTACCTATYCWGTTAAATGAATCAGTTTATCAATCAGTTTGATATAGGTTTGWTTTTTACAAATGCAAGATTGCAATGCTTACCTTTTGACAAATTCTTCTCTTGATTATTCTTTGTTAGTGCACCTACATTCTATTTACATAATATTATAGAATAAAACTCTTATTCGGATGGCATAATCAATGCAAATCTTTTAATCGTTAGTCGTAAGAAAATGAAATATATATATATCCATTGATCGAATGGTGTAATGAATTCTTCTTCTCGTGAGTATAATGTTCTTGGATTGGAATTAAAAATATAGATCTGCATGCTGATCTAAAAATATTTAAAAAAGTAGTTTATATATAAATACCAAAATAAGTTTGAAGAGAGAAAATGTTTAGATAATGCATAAAGTTAAAAGACAAAATAATCCATATATTTTAATAATTAGAAGAATTTTGTATAAAAAAATATATACTTTCTTTCCTCCGGGCGAAAAGCGTCAAGTTTTCTCCCGCTGTTCAAAACGAAGTTGCCGCTTTCCGCTTACGTCGACCAGAAAAAATGTATACTCACCATGGACAGTAAATAAGAAAGCCTCAGAGCACATGTTTGTTGTAACAATTACATGTACTCTGAGACATTTCTTACTTTACCTCCCTAGGTGAGTAATATACTATTTTAATGTTAAATATTACACTACAAAATAATGCATTACTTTCCAGTCCCTTTAACATTTCTGTAACATTAGTTGTTAACAGTGATATCAAAAAGTAAAATAATACTGAGAAAAGAATTAAAAAGAAATATAAATACATTACTTGATTCGAACGTTTATTACCAAGCATACGGTAATAGCGACCGAGACCCCTAATAACCAAGACCTCGGTTAATTAAGGGGTAACACCACTATAGAATTTTCAAAAAATCGATTTTTTTGTTAGCTTAAAATATGTACTTTAGACATCTAAAAACATTATGAACATGGTCCCGAAGCAAAAAAAAAAAATTGTTAACATGGCGAAATCTTATTTTTACGAAACGTCTCAAAGCGCTTCGAATAGTGATAACAAAACTTTAAACGAGTTTTTCTCGAAACTACATTTTTAAAACTGAGCAGACTCAAAACTCGAACATCATTTAACCGATTGACTTGAAATTTTGAAGATAGTTTGATAGTTGTATTTTCTACAGAAGTATATATCCGATTTTTATTTGAATGCAAACTTTTAATTTTATAAACAATTTTCTACATCTTGTTTCGTCGAAAGGTCGATTTTTTTATTCAAAGTTGCGCCATTTTTACAAAATTTGACTTAGGAAAAAATCCGTATGTACTTCTCAAGATAATAATACATAGATTAAGAATTTCTTTTGTTTTTTTCAAAACTCTGCAAAAACAGAATTTTATTCAGTCACGAATACCGACTATGCCATTTTCTATTTAAAATCAATAAAAATATTTGTTTACATAGTTCAATATATGATTAACCAACCCTCAAAAAAGAAATTGTATTCCTCATTTAGTTTTCGCAAAAAAAATGTGCAAAAAAAGGCTATTTTTCAGGCTCTATAGTGGTGTTACCCCTTAAGAAATCGAATAAACACGAATCGATTAATCAAGGTTCTACTGTATATTCATCATAGAACAAAATATTTTAAAATTAATGACTCGGAAATATTTATTTGTTCTTATATAATTTTACATAATCAACCTATTTTTCACATGCACATATCTCTTTATTTGTTGATATACTATATACACAAAGAGGTTTCTTTGTAATTGGATGTATTCCATGCTCCGCAGTTATTCCTATGGGATTCTTCAAGAATTCAATCATTTTTTTAGCAAGTAAACGATTATTTTCATGTACTTCTGGATGATATAAATATTCATTGAGCTGCGAAAATAAATTTATATTAATAAGTTATTTTATTATAAAAAAGAATATTTATAAAGATGTATTCATTAAAATTTATTTCGCGATGAGCAATAGACAAAGAAAACATTTAGCTGAATACGACATTTAATTTCTAAAAGTCTATAACCAAGTATGACAAAGTTCTGCTATTTGTAAATTATGTGAATAAAAGAATATTATATATTTCAGTATGATTATTATAATATTATATTCGGATCTTACGGATACATAAAATTTACTTGAACTCTTGAAACTTCTGAACTTTGTATTTTTAGTAAATGATGCATTTTGATGATCTATAGGTCTAGATCAGTAGGTCTACTTCTCCCGTATTCTGCTAAAGATATTGAAATGACTAGAACTATGTTTCCCATCGCGAAAGTGTTTGTTAATAATAGTTCCTACCTTTATCCATTTACATTCAGAAATTTCTATTTCACACTTCGTAATATCAAAAGTACAAGGTGTTAAATAAGCTATCATGTATATATCTGAACAATCGAAGGCAGCATTATGTGAATGTCTAAATGCTACAAGACATTTGAACATTGTTTGAATACCTGTCTCTTCTAACACCTCCCTTTGTGCAGCTTCGTCTATATTTTCTCCTAAAAAATGAAATTATTCAAATTGTTCATTGATCCAATTTATTTTGTTCAACATGTTTTGTTTATTTCGTTTAACATTTTGCTCTGTTTCTTGTTAAGGCGGAATGATGATGATCATTCGTCAAGGTGTGCTTGGTTAAAAAGTACAGTGAAACTAATCTGTAGCATTCATATATTCAAATGAATTTTATCATAAGAAATATATAATGTAAAATTGGATAAATCGCTCAACAATCATTTATTCATATAAAAATAATATAAAATACAAAATACTAAAAATAAGTAAAAATTAAATAAGTTAATCTGCACGTAAAAGAAATTATTTGCAATCCAAGGTTTAACTGTATAAACAGAACATAACACATATATCGTAGTGACACGATTATGTTTCACTATCTGTTTGGATTATGAGAATGGAGCAGCCAATGCAGGAATATATAAAGTGTAAACAAAAGATAATCAAATGAAGAATGGTAAAAAAAAAAAGCAAGCACCAAGACGCTGCATAAACAGAAAACTCACCGTTAATTCTCATAGACTGCGTTATGCTTAAGATGTTAAAAATATTACCTGGTTCAATATAGCCGCCTGGTAATTTCCAGAACATATGACCTTTGACATTTTTTTCCTTTACAACTAATATCTCTGATGTTTTTTCATTAAAAACAAATGCTCCTACTCCCAAGTTTGTATGAGCATAAGGCGGAATATTACATACTGTTTCTTTGTTTAACCAGTAATACAGCATAACATATTCTTCTCGTGCATGATGAAATTTAAAACCATTTTCTACTAAAATCGGTATCCATTCAGAGTGTGACAAGTGCACGCGAAACCAAATTGTTCGTTTCTTTTGTTCTGACCAAATTTTTAAGGAATCTATATAAAAAAAAAAAAAAAAAAACTTTAATTGATATATCATTATGATACTGTAAAAACATATGTAACGCTGGACGATAAAAACCACTTAACACGTTGAGCGCCACGTCAGTCATCGGTGAGTGACACTAGACTTTCCGTTTGGGCCACGTCAGTCATCGGTGACTGACAGCGTATAACATGATACATCTAAGCGGTACGCGTGGTCTGACGGGGACTTCCTTAAAAATGGGCCTGGCGCTCAACGTGTTATGTGTCAAAAATCGAGTTTTAAATTAATGTAATTTGTTTACCTATAATATTATACAATAACATACAAGTTAATATCAAAATTATTGTACAGTATCTCGGAAAATTACAAAAACGCGACAAAAATGAGAAATGAAAATATCTAATTTGTTTCATTTTTTTGTTCAATTTTCATTTGCTTCAATCTTGGAACTAGAGATACAGGTGCCAAACTAGTAAATGAACTAACAATATGAAGGAACGAAAATAAATCATTATTGAATCAAAAAAAGTGATTTTTAGTAATTACACTGTCACGTAACAATGAATAGTTAATAAAAATACAATGCAAAATCTTAATATATGATCTAATAAATTTTAACGCGAAATAAACAAAAACTGATTTACATACACTAGGTAGGTAATTATTGTTCAGTGTTAGATAACAATTTTAATTGTTAGACATTTGTGTGTCTGCCTGCATATGAGGTATTCCATACCGAATGAACCACTTTTGACCCTGACCCTTTTCGATTTGGCTGAAAGTTTTTCATCCTATTCTATCCTATGAAAGACAGTTCTCAGAATTTTATCAAATTTTTTTACCAAACCCAAAAAATATGGCTCCTTTTTTTTAAATAGCTATAACTTCTTCAAAATTCAACCTATTGGGACGTTTTTTTTTTCAAAATATTTGTTTTTAAATGTACTTTCGTGAAAAAAATACAAAAAAAATTTTAAGATGATAAACTCCCTGAAATGTTTGCACTTTTTTGAAAATAACGGGTTTTCTCAACAAAGGCGAAAATTTCATGGATTTTATAATCTTAAAATTTTTTTGTATAATTGTCTGTAAAATGGTGACCAACATTAATAATTAATAAATTGCAAGTTTCTACATAAGATGCACTCATACACCACCAAACAAGATCACTGCTACTACTTCATAGACATAAATGTTTAATTTGCATTTGAGTATTAAATTTCTACTAAACTATTACTACTCCTCCATTGGAAGTAAATACATTGAATTCACTTTAATCGGTGAATAATACTTTGTTCGAGAAACTTATTGACTTGTTTATACGAGTTCTTTTTGGAAAATTCATATATTTCATTCTATTGAGAATTTTCCATAAATATCTCTAATAAATAGGAATGAAAACATATTAATCAAAATTCGTAGAACTTACTGATTATTTGAAAATACTGGAACATAAATCTTACATATCAAGTAAAGAAAGGTTATAAATATTTGAAAGGCTTTATAAGGTTTAAAATATGTCTAATTTTAACATTGGTCCTAAAATTATAATCATGAACTAATATTGAATAAGTCAAACTCATTTGTTAAATTAATTAACACGACAAAGCCAATAATAGAAATAATAAATAACGTAATATAAATTATCGTATCATTTATTATTGAGCAATTATTAATACTATTCTCATTTATTAATGTTAGGTCTGATTATTAAGAAAATTTATTCTAAATATAAAAATGTATGTATTGATCAAATATTTGGACAATCAAATTATTAAAAATCTTGTAAATAAAATTAATCTATTTTACCTGTTAACACATCTCAAATAATAGTAAATCTTAAAAGTAAAATTATAAAAAATAGACTAAATGTATGTACCTTGTAAATATTGAGGAAATACTGTAACCAGACAAGGTTCTTCGATGGAATGTACAGTTACACCATTATAATTATCATTACGACCTTGAAAACATTTTATGGACATATTTGCAAAATATTTAATGTTACAAATAAAATTGTATCTATTGTAATAAGAATATAAAATAGATGGAAATATAATCGATTGATGTAGAAAATCTCGTTTTATCGATGCCTTGGTAACACGAAACAATTTCAGAACTATAGTATTATACATTGGAATAATTCATGATTTTAGCTTTAATAATATCGTATCACGTTGCACTCGAGCAAACGTACTTTATATAATATAGATTACTTTACGTAATAAATGCAATAAGATTTGGAAAAAATTATTGCAAATATAAAATCATATTTGAAGGTTAACTTAACACACATTACATAAAATCAACGGAACTTCATTAATATAAATCTTTTTATTTATCTTAATGACAAAGCATGTTTCAATAAATCATATGGATATATTAAGATGTAATATATCTATTATTCATAAGAAAATAATAGAAATACGTTTATGATATGTCACGTGAACTTATATTACACACAAAACAATACACACACACACACACACACACACATATTTAGTATTTGATAACTAAATATTTATTAATAAATATATAAGTATTTAGATATAGTTTTTATTAAAAAATAAATCAATATACATTTATCTTTTTTTCTACTACAAGTAAATATATACACGATCGTTCGTATGTTCTCTCTCTCTCTCTCTCTCTCTCACAGGATAAATACTCGTATTTTAATTAACACTAGATATAACACCATTTTCAGTATGCCTATTTCTACCACACTAGTCAAAATGACTGGTGTATAAAAAAAATGTTTAACAATAATAATTTTAATAGATAAATGGATTTATAGATATTTTTAAATAACAAAACGCTTAATTATTTACAGAACTCAAACGTTACATGAAATAGAAATTTTGAATTAAAATGGCCCCCGACCAGTAAAAATGACTGGTCTAGTATATCTAGTGTGTTAATCATATGAACAGAATTTCTCTTTGCCCCAAAAATCATCGAGATCCTTATAAATTTTGTTAGCACGAGAATTATAATGCAATGCCTCGCAAATACGACAATAATGACGAGATACGCTACCGAAATAACCGTGTTCATTCAATATTTCAAAGTTTTCACGCCATACGTGAAATTGAAGATAATTATTAATATTGTGATGAAAATTTTGAAGATAATGTGCTAACTCGTACGAACTAGCAAAATCATTAACGTGTAAATATGATCCTGATGGTAAAAGTTGTTCACAATCGCTTTTCGGAGCACCCATAATAATCGGAACTGCAAATTTGTTGTATCCATTCCAAAAAACTTTTTCGGTCAAATATCCTTTACAATTAGAATTTTCAAAAGCTAGATAAAATTTATAAGCATTTAAAGCGGAACAATCGGTGTCAAAGTGACCAGGACAAGCTGTTCTATTACCCCCCTTACATCGTCCGTAAATATCAAGATCGTTACCCAATATTGATTTCAAAGAACGGATGTATTTCCACCTTTTGTTTTTACCAGAACAATTGCTGGCCATTATCGCAACAAGTTTTGTTTTAGACCTTATGAAATAATTATATAAATGCGTTAAATTGTTATACGAATTTCTCGTGGAGGATATTGGAACAGTTCTACCATAAGGTACAGGTATATCGCTATCCATGCGGTACGACATTGACCAATTAAATAAGCCGTTGTAATCTGATAATTTTTGATTTCGGTAATAAAATGTATGCATCGGCGATTCGTCCGTTAAAAATATCCATCTTTGATTCGAACGAATTCTAATAGGTAAGTCTTGTACACTTTTAGTAAAATGAAGATGAAATACAACTGCGTCCGCTTTATTTAAATCTTCAGAATTGTAACTCAATAAACAATTATCGACCGAACAATTCTCCCAAGGTGAAAATCTGAAATTATTGAGAAAAAGTAACGTAAGTAAGATATCAATTGTAAGTATATAATATTCGACAAAAACAAAGCTAACTTAATATTAGTAAATCGTCTAATGTGTCTTCTTTCCAAAAATGGTCCGTGTTTCCAAATTAGAATTATATATGGTTCCGTTTTATTTTGTATTATTAATGGTAATGATTTTTCGAATGATAGAAGCCACTGCCCGAGTCTCGAAAGATTTGTAAACTTAAAAACACGAAGAAATCACATCTAATTTAATAATATATTTATTGGTAAAATTTCATAATTAGCTTATAACTCAATACCTCTTGGTCTACAAATTTGGTTTTTCTATTTGTTATTGTTAATTCTTTCGGAACTATTAAATTTTGTATTGTGTCATCTAAAGATAACACTCGTCTAACAGAACGTTCATTAATATAGTGTTTAATAATCTTACTAACGTAAATAATCAAAACAATAATACACAAATAAATAGAAATGCGTCGATAATGCCTCAATATTAACATCACAGAAAATCGATATTGTAAAACATCAAAAGTTAGAAATTAATTGTTTAAATGAAATTTTAAAAATCATTCCTCCACCCACTAATCATCGTCACTTCTCATAGAATGTTATATCACAATGAATGAGTACTTATTTATATTAATTTCAATGATTATAGCACTATTGTTACAAATAAGTTCAAATTTACGAGCAATCACATTCACGTGCACAACGCTCAACGTGTAATAAATTTTTACTAACGTAAACAAATGAAAGGTAATGTAAGAAAAGAATAGAAAGAAGAAATGAGATCGTTTAACGATAAAAAAGAACCGTTTGTCGTGAAAGCGGTCTCGATTGTGTTGATTAACCAAGTGTTACTTTACTCGCTATTGATTTCATGCTTTTTATTTAATAACGGGATTTTTATTATTATATAATTTTATTAATATGTGCTTTTAATAAATTTCTTCATAGATTATACAATTAATAAATACTAATCTCAATAATTAGTATTTATTAATTATGTTGCAATGATTTAAAAAATAAATTAATAAGACTTATATAAATATATAAATATATTATATTTAATTATTATGCGTTTGAAACGTCAAGAAAGATAACTAATGATATCGATTAAAAAATGATATATCAATATTATTTTTTCTATGATTACATTGGATTAATTGATAAAATTTAACTTATAATTAATTTAATACACTATCCATTGATGCAATTTGAAAAATTCTGAATAAACTTTGTTTCCCGCTGAAAGATACTCATCTTTCATTGCTTTTTAATGTCTCTACATTGGCGTTACTGGATTGGTCAACGCAGTTTTTTCATCCACGAATCACATTACTATACAAAACGATTGCCGAGCGATACGCGCCTAGCGTACCGACGTGACAAACTAGCGCCTTTTCTCCCTATACGGGAACCACACCAGTTAAGTCCTAATATAATGTAACGACTAACGTTCGAAAAATATCAGTCTTATATATGGCGGCCAAGAATATAGTTGCTATTAGTTATAATAAATTTTATATTTTCTCTTTGGGATAAAATCCGAAAGTGAATATAATCTCTCCAGATAGCTTTTTTCCACCGTCCTGGTTTTCCACAAGTAGATACTACAGCTGCACCCACTGTTCTAAACGAAACGCTGTAGTTGCGGATACGACATCTAAGTTCGTTAGAAAGGCAGCAAATATCCGTTGTCCTTCTTCCTAATGCAGATATAATAAAACTTCATTAATTACAAATTTCTAATTTTGTAATGTTTGTTTTTCGTAAGATGTTTTCTTTGTTAATTAATCGCCACTCTCGTGTTACATTTCCCTCATATTTCCACCATTTACTATAGTCACATAATGCGCCTAATCAATTAATGAATTCGTGGAAATAATGCAACTTTGAAATTTATCCTATGCATGGTTCTACTTATATTAGATATGGCGAACCTATGACCGGCGGGTCAGACATTGGCCCACGCGTCGATTTTTGCTAAACTTTAATTTTCAGACGGAATAAAATTCTCTTCCCCTTTCGAAGGTCACATCACTCAACTACTAATACATATAATATAATACTATGCATGGTTCTACTTATATTAGATATGGCGA